TCAGAGGTTTCAGGAAGTTAGGGGAAGGAGGTGCAAGAAAAAAGGAATCATTCAAGAAATACTTAAGGGGAACTCTGTGAGCTTCTGGCAAGAAACTTTACTCTAGGGTTATAAAGACCACAGCTCTACCTGTAAAGAGTTCACAGCGCTGTGGGCACTGAGCAGGTAAGGATCTCACCCCCACCAGTGAGCAGAGATGTTAAAGTTAAAGCCAGATTAAGCCATGTGACTCCCAACTCTAAACTGCAGGGCTCTTTCCACTAGAACAGTTCCTTTCAAATGTTGAGTGGGCTTATAGTAAAAAATACATCCTGTAGCACTCCCCAGTACAGATACACATTTCTGATCTTTTTATCTTCATTCTATTCTATTTCACTGTTTTTCAATGTTCAGCCTGACACACTAAATTGGCTTATGACTCAAAGGCGGAAAAATACTGCTCTAGGAGATATATTTTTAATCTCTAGAGTTTTGATGTCAGATAGAATTCCTAATAGTTTTTCTCACACAATAAATGTGTATCCCAGCAAAAAAGGTAAAACACTATCAAATAATCAAATAACCCACAAGGACTAATGGAGTCATGCCAGCTGTCACTTGGGGAATGGGGGGAAGCTAAACCTAATCTCCATCCGCTTTCCCTAAAGCCACAAATACTCAATCTGAGGGAAAGAGTGTTTTCTGGGCAGAAACAAACTGGTGGCAAGCCTCCTGACACCCCAGCTCCCTTCTGCCAGACTATGGCCCAAAGACAATTATTCTATATAGAAATTCTGGGGGCACCTGGGTGGCTCAGTCGGTTAAGCGGCCGACTTTGGCTCAGGTCATGATCTCATGGTCTGTGAGTTCGAGCCCCGCGTCAGGCTCTGTGCTGACAGCTCAGAGCCTGGAGCCTGTTTCAGATTCTGTGTCTCCCTCTCTCTGACCCTCCCCCGTTCATGCTCTGTCTCTCCCTGTCTCAAAAATAAATAAACGTTTAAAAAAAAAAAATTTAGAAATTCTGGAGCTTCCACTTACAATGAATATTTTTTAAATGATTTTGTATAAGAGACTTTAACTAAAGGTGTTTGGATGGGAAACAATAAATTTATTAAAATAAGTGAATGGGGAGTGCCTGTGTGGCTCAGGTGGGCTCTTGACCTTGGCTCAGTTCATGATCTCATAGTTCATGAGATCGAGCCCTTTGGGCTCTGCAGTGTGGAGCCTGCTTGGGATTCTTTCTCTCTCTCTTTCTCTGTCCCTCCCCCACTCTCTCTCTCTTAAAAATAAATAAATAAACATTTAAAATAAATAAAGTGAACAAAAATTGAACTATTTTAAACACATTTTATGTAAAAAAAGAAAAACACTCTGAAATTTGCCATGCTTCACTTAAATTGGGAGGAGGAAAGTGATTTATCCCAGATTTGAATAAAATATACAGAAGATCATTAGTTAAGCTAGTACCTCATCTTGTTTGCTCTCAAAATATTAGGTCAAAGACAGTATACAACTTTTACTCAACATGAGATGTTTGTACAGCATTTCCCATGAAAGGAAATGTGGTAACAACTACATCACTACCTAGTAGCAAGCTAGGGATGAACAAACTCCAATGTCCTCAGAGTTCTTTCAACAAATGTGTTCTCTTGGGGGTGCCTAGATGGCTGTCGGTTGAGCACCTGACTCTTGATTTCTGCTCAGGTCATGATCTCACAGTTCATGAGTTCGAGCCCTACATCAGGCTTCCCACTGACAGCGCAGAGCCTGCTTGGGATTCTCTCTCTCCATCTCTCTCTGTCCCTCCTCCATTCTCTATCTCTCTCAAAAATAAATAAATAAACTTAAAAAAAAAAAAAAAAAGAAATACGTTCCCCTGGAAAGTCACAAACAGGCAGAAAGACCAGAAAATCTCTTTCTCCATGTTCTGGGTCCACAGACAGTACTCCAGCTCTAAAAACACAAACTAAGTATAAGAATGTTCATTCAAGTTCTTTGACTGGCCTTGCCATTCACCATCCAAGAAGCAAGTCTGAGTTTAAAGCAGTAGTTTTTGTGACATTTGCCTCAAATTAAAAGACAATTTTAGGGCACTTGGGTGGCTCAGACGATTGAGCCTCTGAATCTTGGTTTTGTCTCAGGTCATAGTCTCAGCATCGTGAGATCAAGCCCCAAGCCCCACATCAGCCTCCACTCTGGGTGTTGAGCCTGCTTGAGGTTCTCTCTCAAAAAAATAAAATAAATTTAAAAAAAATTAAAACACAATTTTATAAGACTTTAACAAATCCTCCTATCATCCCCAAAGAAATCTGTTTAGAACTATGTTCAGAAAAATATTCTTTTTATAAAGACAAAATGCATTTTTCCTAAGAAAAAGGAAAAAGCCATACTTAGTATTTATCAGATCTATCCAATGGAACTTTCTCTGGGGATGGAAGTGTTCTGTATCTGTGCTCTCCAATACAGTAGCCACCACCCACCTAATATAGAGCACTTGAAAGGTGATTGATGTGACTGGGAAAGTGTATTTTAACGTTTTTTTTTCATTTTAATTAATTTAAATTTAAATAGTTGCATTCGCCCAAGTACCTACCTTTGGGATAGCGTAGGTTAGATAATCAACAAAAGCAGCAGAGCTGGCTAACTCACTTGTCTTAGACTCAATGTCACAATTTGAAAAAATGATATTATACACAAATATTCAATCTCCAACTTCCCAATTAACATTTCATTACTTAATATTTAAGTTGTCCTTAGAAGTGTTTTTCAACAAAGTTTGGCGATTTCTATTCTGAAATATGAACATTTTAGATCTGCCGAGCAGAATCCCTTTGGCAGTGTTCAATTTTCTGTCTGTGAAACTTAAGCACAGGGAAAGGAAAAAACTGAATCCCACCTTCCTCTTGATACAAAGGGAAGAAATGGAATACATAATCCAGACAAAGGCTAATGTAACCTCCTAGGCTCTTTCATGGGTACATCTGCTCACCAATCCCCTGCTTATGTTGCTTTAGACCCAGCTGTGGCTTTCCACAAAAGTCATTTCTACATTTGTTTGACCTCTTGATTGTGTTTCCTTATGATCAAACCCTCTCAAAGCATTCTACCTATTGGAAAACCATTTAAAATATAAACACTAAAATATTCTATATTTAAATGGTTAGAATGCAGTAGCCTGAAGAGAACAGATGCTTCAGAGAGACTAAAATATGCAGATCATGCCAGGACCACTTTCCAAGCAGGTGGCAAAAGAAACTGCGCAGTTCCACAGTCAGCAAGGGAAAGACACCACAAGAAAATATCCTCAGAAATGCCTTGCAGCCATGCTGTGGCCAAAGGTTAACTCACTTTAACTTCAAGCAGCATCACTGCACTCACTACAATCTCAAGGTCAATGCCAATTTTTTTTCAGCTTCTCATCATGCTAACCCTTAAACACAAACAAACCACACACACGGGCACAAACATTTCACTAATTTCATTGTGTTTAAGTAGAATGAACTTCTAGAACTCTAATCTATGAGTTGACTTAAAACTGGCCAACAAGTATACAATACAAAGAACAAAGTCACGAGTACCACATATCATATTTGCGGAAGCTTAAAACTACACAGAACAAAGCAATTCTAAGACAGCAGTACTTCAGGTAAGAATTCAGCACCATAGTTGAGAACTTCATTTTTTCCCCCTCTACCACTACTACTGCTACCACAAGGTCCTAAAAGAGGACTAGAAGCTCACCTACTGTACCCAAAGGGCATGGGATCTCAACAAGACCCGTGACAGGGAAGCAATGCACACACTATCCCAGGAGCTTTGGGTCTTGCAGGATAATAAATAGCATTGCCAAAAGGAAAAGACTTCATCTGGGGCAACTGAGAGCACTCTGACCTAGCAAGAGTCTGTTGGACTCCATAAAAGCTATGTGTTGTCAGTCCTTTTTTTATGTATATGGATAAAATCTACAGATGCAGCCTGGGCAGGAAAGGAGACAGAGAATTTAAAACGGGGAACTGCCATGCTGTGTGACCCCGAGAGCACCCTCATACCCTCCTCACTTTTCCAAGCTGTGAACTAGACTCTACTGACCGCAGCATCTGCAGCATGATCTCTAAGGAAACTATCCATTATAAAATCCTATGATAACAGCTTCAATGTCTAAGACAAGTGCTAGAAACCTCAATGCTTTTTTTTTTTCATCTTCGTAATTCTTAGGGAAAAAAAGTCAAATGAATATAATAAACAAAGAATTTTCACATCAGAGGCCCAAGTTCTCAAAGCACATAAGGCTTATAAAGAGAAAATAAAAATAAACGCTACTTCTCATTTAGTTCTTTAAAAGTCCACTTCAGAACAGCATTAATCTGGCTCCCCAAAATGCAGTTTAAAGGCAGAAATATAAATCTACTTAAAGACACTCAGAACATAAATGAGTTTGGCATAGATAAAACTTAATTCTTATATTTAATATTCATGTATGAGATTAAAATATAGATTCTAGTAAACAAAAGAAACATACATCACAGAAAGAAAGCCATGTTTTGCTTGACTCAAAATGTTAACACAATACTACATTAAATGAAAAAACTTATTAAACTATCTTAGCACAAATATGGCCCAGTCCTTTTTCTAAATTCCTAATGTGTTTATGGGCTAAATATGTTATCTCATTTTATAAGCCCTCAAGTCCTATATAACCCACTCCTATTCTTCTAGGTGAGCCTTGGCAGACCGGTTTGAATCAATGTCAATCACATTAAAAACATACTATTTAAGGAATTTATCAGGATGTAACTATGAAATTATACATCTGAAAATATCATCGTTCCTAAATTGGGATTCTGAAAAAAAAAAAAAAAAAAAAAACTCAATAGAATTGTTTTCTATTTATTTTTTTAATAGCCAAAACATCAAGGCGTCTTCAACCCCAAATGTAATATATATTTAATCATGGCTCCTGACTTAGGCATAACATTATAAATTGTTTCATACGCGTTAAACAAAAGTGCTCACACTCTTACCTGTATATCCAGCATACCATCCCCAAGAAGCCACCATTCCTAAAAGCCATTTATACATGAATCCTTCAATATACCAGAACCGCTTACTGTCCAGCAGTCGAAGGGGCTGAAGTACAATTACATAGCAGAGGTAGGATAAAAGAGCAACCAGGTTGTTGGCGACCATGAAGGCAAACCTCAACAGGGCTTTCACCAAGATCCAGCCCAGCCACGGAGCTTCTTCCAAAGTCACAGCCATTCTCACATGGGCGTCCGTCCTGTCTTTCTGAGGTGAAAGAAAAATTCATTTAAAAAGGAAAATGGATCATCCACATCCAAATAGTCACTAACATAGAAATCGCCTCCAGCACAAAAACACGAGAAAAATCGAGGGTCTAAGCTTTCGCGGTGTAGTACCTCGGTGATCTCTCCGGGAAATTCCAGAGGGGGACAGAGAGCGAGGGAGGAGGAGCCGCACAAGGTCAAGGGAGCTGTTCACGGAGGCACAGGGTATGTCATAATATATTTAGCAAACGATAATACTATCCCCACTAACTAATCAGTGGCCGTCCCCGCACCGCGCCTCACTGCAGTCTGCTGTCTGGACTTTGGGGAAGAAAAACAGACCCACTTGCTTCAGACCCCCTCAGTATTTCCAAACTGACGACACGAGTGAAAGGAGGCTGTTGCAGGGACACGATCCCCTTTCCCAGCTAGGAGAACCTGGGTACCCGAACCACTACCATTCCTGCACATCGATCGTGCCTTAGAACGGTCTCTCGCCTTAGCAAAACGAGTTACGCTAACAATGTTCATTTGCGGCAAAGGGGTATTTGTTTAACCTTTGACTCAGGGTGGAAAAAAAGGAGAAGGGCCTAGAAAAGAGGGCAGGAAGGTGAGAGGAAGAAAGTGGGGGCTAAGACAGCGAAAGGAGGAAGGACGGGAGTAGGGGGAGGGGAGCAAAAGCCAGAAGGAGGTGAAGGCACGGGGGGCACAGATGAGAATGAAGTCCCGGACCGGAGGGCAGGCAAGCCAGGGAGGATGTTAGAAGCGCGGAGGAAGAGGCGACGGCAGCGCTCGGGAGGGGGGGGCGGGGGCGCGGGGCATCCGCCCGCCTCCCCGGACCCG